AGATTGATGTTATTTATTTTACCACTTGGCTTTTAAATCAATTTCTGCGAAGTGTACAAATTTACTTGAACATTCATTCCCTTATTTACTCACTCTTAAAACAAAAAATAACAAGTGAATTTCATGAAGGCTGGCTCCACTATCTTTGAGAAAATTCCCAACTTCTTTTCCCACACTATATAAGACACATCTTCACTTGACAATTGACACCAAATATAGAAAGGAACCTCTGCGAGTCAGAGCAGCCCAACAATCCTTTTCCAGCTATTTCAAGCACTTGGCGACTCGTATCTTTATGCATTTAAGGTAAAACGGCTTGTCATTAGCCGACCTCCTCTTGTCTTTGGACGTTCTTCGTCTCTTGCTCGTCCCATGAAAAATCAACAGGAGGAAGCTGATATTCATCAGGCTTGAGTGCCAATGCAAAATCTGGCAGTGTTGGTGCCGTTTCCATAATCCTACAGCCGATAGTTTTTTTTTTTTTTTTTTAGTTATTTTATATAAATATTTCCCATTTCAACTTTGCATGAAGAAGTAGAAAAACTGCAGGACTTACTTTTCGGAAGAGTAAAGATCCTTGTTGATTCGCACCTTGCTTGAAGTATCTTTCGGAATCTTTTCCGACAGATACTTCATGGTTCCCCAAAGAGGAGGATTCCTGCATATGTAAAATAATGTATAGATTAAATAATTCTATGATGTACCCTTTTATAAAAAAATGAAAAACGAACAAAAGGGTAAGAAGGTTACCTGGATACAGGAACAGATGTGTTAAAAGCTTCACCAGCTTTCTTGCTCTCTTTGAGGTACTCGTCTGCTGCTTGTAGAGCAGCAACAGCCATTCCATGTGATTTCTCAGTATTGCCCTCATCAAGAATTAGACCGTGATAGTAGTATGCTGCAGCCTGAAAGGATATGCCTAAATCTTTAAATCAACGGCAGATTGCATATTTTTTAAATGCAATGCTTAAGGAGATCACGTGATAATATAATGGGGATGATCATGAAAAACTATCCCAGACAAGTTTGTGTCTCATGTAAGAGTTCATGCCATTTGCTTCTACCTTATTTAAATTTGAGGGAGTAACTTTAGTATTTCTGTAGATGTAAATACACTTGTTTTAACATTTCTTCTTAAGGAGAACATGTGAGATAGAACCAAACGTTGATTATAGTTTTGAAATCCTGTTTGTTTCTTTAAAAATACATAAACCTCATGTGGATGTAACTATCCTTCATACTAGTTGAAAGAGCACAATAATTGGGTTGTGGCTCCCCGAAAATTTCGCTATAATTGTTCCTAATAACGGTTTCTTCTTCTTTTTTTTTTTTCAACACAACGTTCATTGTCAATAATGGGCAGTGGGAAAAAGGACAGGGCAAAATTTATTGCTTCAAAAAGACGGAAAGAAGATACCTTTGCTTCAATGTATTTCCACTTGATGAATAGCCTATGCTTTTCTCCCCAACCATTTGCTAGTGGAAGGTTCATTATGTTGTCTTGGGCCTACACAGTCATAAACACACAAGACATTCATTCTGAAAAGTTCAATAAACTCGGACAGGAAAGGAGCAAATGATGAAAAAAATTCAGAAAATTTCCAACATAATGACTTCCAAACTTGAGCAACAAAAGATGCCAAACACTCAATTTATTTGAGAAATGAT